TAGTAATGTGGCCCTAAATCAGTTATATTTTTGGTAGCCATCTTTATGATCAAGTTATAGTCCAATAAAATAAACTAAAAAAAACTAATTGTAGGCTTTCTGTCTCCATTCCGTATTTGTGCCAACTGTTTAGAAAGACAGTGAAATTTCATTTTCTTAGATTTAGCCCATTGCCCAAACTTGTCAAGATCATTTTAGATACCAATTCTGTCTTCTCGTACAAGAGCTACTTCTCCCAGCGGCAGCACATCTGTAAATATTCTTAACCTGCCGCCAATATCCTAAACAAACTTCAAACAAGTTAAGATGAGGACCAAAGAAAAAAAACAAACCCGTTGCCGTCGAGTCAATTCTAACTCATAGCAACCCTATAGGACAGAGTAGAACTGCTCCGTAGGGTTTCCAAGGAGCACCTCATGGATTCGAATTGCCGACCTTTTGGTTAGCGGCTGAACTCTTAACCAGTATGCCATCAGGTTTCCAAGATGAGGACAGAACTTGCTAATTCAGGCTAGCACATATCTATCAATGAACCTTTGGAAATAGCTGAGAAAGGGTTAGAAACCCACCTGACTAAATTTTAAACAACCCCATCTCTTCGTCTCTTCCATACAGATGTTATGAGACATTGTTAAACAGCTTTTTGGAATCCATATAAGCATTCTTGGATAAATAGGTTTCAATCATGCAACCTGTGGATTTTCTTTTTTGACCAAGACAAGGAAAAATAAAGTATCTCTAGATTAATGCATTATCACATTGACTATAAGCAGAAAGTGGGTTGCATTTAAATTGTCCTAGAAAATGTCTAAAGATAAAAATGTCTTAGACCTACATTAGGTCCTATGATGTAAATTCTATTATGATTTAGAGAAAATTGTAATACATTGGAAGTTACTCTGAAGGATTCTTGTCTAGAAGTTCAAAGGGAAAATATTAGAGCACTTTTTGCAGATAAACAGACCTGAGAAGGGCACCAGATTCATGGTTGATCAGCTGTGTGACTTAGAACAAGCCAGTGTCCTCACCTGTATAAACAGGGGTGGTACCTAGCCTGTAGAGCTATACTGAAGACTGAATGAGGCAATGTCTGTGGTACTTAATAACAGTTGTATTGAGGTGCTTACTATGCTCTAGACACTCTAAGTGCTTTATACGGTCTAGGTCATTTAGTCGTCACATGATCCAAGGAAGTGGTACGATTATGATTTCTATACATTTGAAGCTCCAAGACATAAAGTAACTGGCCCAATCCACACATTTAGAAAGTAGTGGACTTGACATTTGAAGTTCCTGACTCCATGGCCTGCACTGTTAACCACTACATCTTCTGTGGGGTGTGGGTTATGTTTTTGCCTCCCAGCAACCATTCTTCCACCCTGATAACAGCCCCTTAACTTCTTCTGGAGAATGCTCTCTATTTGTGTCGTCTTGGTGAGATTGATAGTAAAGGTGCCCATCTCTCTAGCCATGGAGGGGGCCAAGGCTGGATTTCCCTTATGACCTTGTATGTTGAGGGACCTGAACTGTAACTGACTTGTTGCTTTGGTAGTGCCTTGAAAGGCTGTCAGGCCCTATTACCTGGATCGCCAAAGCTGCCTCAATGGTCCCAATAAACTCCCTTTTTTCCTAAGTTAGCCAGTCAGTTTCTTTTGTTCAAAACTAACGAACTCTAACTGATAAGATATCAAAACCAGGACACACTATTATGTATGAGAACTGGAGGGCTAACGTCAGACCACAAAGTTCAGTTTCCTCATCTGTAAAATGGGCATAGTAACAGTAACCATACTGCCCATGACTGTCGTGGTTAAAGGAAACAATGCATGTAAAGTAGTTAGCACAGTATTCAGTACATACAAAATGCTCAGTGTCAGCTGCTATTGCTAGGGGCTCAGTTATTTTCTCGTGAAAAAGCATATTAGCAATTATTTCCATTAGATGAACCAAATCTATGAAATGGAAATAATTATGGTCATAGACGCCATTTTCCCACATGTAGGCATAAATTCTAATAATTATTACACAGGTTGCCCACATTTGTTACATAATTGGACTCCATTCTGAGCTCACCAAGGAATTCCCTGTCCAGGGGCTTGATATTATTCCCCCCACTACAAACTGTTAAGACTGAGGAATAACTGTTTAATAAAAGAACATCTCAGCACTCACTATAGTGAACTTGATCCTGACACTCTAAAACTTAAGAGTTAAGGAGGTGGATGATCCAAATGATGAACTGACAGGCAAAGTTTTTCAAAAGGCAATTATAATATTAATATAGAGTTTAAGATCTCTAACTGCTAATGTGTTTTAGCTTAAAGAGCCCCCTGACACTCTGCTAACTCAGAACTGAAACCACTCCAGAAGCCCACCTTTCAACCAAAGATTAGACAGGCCCATAAAACAAACAATAACACATGTGAGGAATGTGCTTCTTACACTTCAAACAAGTAAACAAGACCAAATGGCCAACTCCTGCCCAAAGAGAAGACGAGAAGGCAAGAAGGGACAGGAACTGGACAAATGGGCACAGCGAACCCAGGGTGGAAAGGGGGACAGTGCTGTCACATTGTGGGGATTGCAACCAAAGTCACAAATGTGTATAAACGTTTGAACGAGAAATTAACTTGGGCTGTAAACTTTCACTAAAAGCACAATAAAATTTAAAAAAAAAAGGAAGAGCATTTTGGATTGAGATAGCTACTGTGTGGTACTGTCCCACCATACCCATTACTCCCCGCAAGACTGGGTTTAAACCTCCTTCCTTTCCACACTCTCCTTCACTAACCTCACACTCCACAACAACCATTACTTTGTCTGGTGCTTGCTTAAACATTATGTATAAGGCTTAACTATAAAGAGTGAAGAGGAAAATGTTTTAACAAAATAACCAAGACAAATACCCAAAAGGCTACACAGTCCCTTTCAAAGCAGAAACCTTTCGAATCTACACTTATTTCACTATTGCTAGATTACCATGTAAGGAGCCCTGGTAGAGCAGTGGTTAAAGCATTTGGCTGCTAACTGAAAGGTCTGCAGTTTGAACCCAACAGCCACTCTGTAGGAGAAAGATGTGCTCAACTGCTTCTGTAAAGATTTAAAGCCTTGGAAACCCTATGAGGCAGTTCTACCCTGTACGACAGAGTCACTATGAGTTGGAACTGACTTGACGGCAGTAAGCAGGATCACCATGTAAATCAAAACATGTTCTGGCACTGCCATTTGAGCCAAAGGTGCCTTTTTAAAAATATCCCCTGTGGGGTTCAATGGACAGGTGCTGCCATGGATTGGAAAGGTGAGGAAACTTGTCCATGCAGCAGTCAGTGCAGGGGTGTTGGAGCAAAACAGCCAGCTCCATGGTCAGGAGCTTGGTTCCTTTTAGGGGGACTGAACAAATGAACGAATATATTGAGGATTATGAGTCCAGTTTCTTACTACAGGGTAACATGGAAATATGATACCACAGTGGCAATGAACACTAGCACCCAAATCTTGGTCTCTATTTTCCACTAGAATGAACCAGGACTCTTTGGGCCAATGGCTGATTCCAGGACTGAGGTAGGGAAAATACAAGATAAGCCTAGAACATCTTGTGGTGCCAGAAGTTAAGGAAGTCCTCAAAGAACCATGGGGACATGTCAAAAGAACACAGGAGCTGGCTTGAAGAGGCTCCCACCCGCCAAATAGGGAACTGCAGCCTCAAAATAAATCATAACATTTTGTAGATTATCAAACAGGAATCCATGTTCCATACTGATACAAATAATAAATGAATGAATGAACGAGGGATGTACTGTATGACCTAAAATTCCAAGTGCTGCCTTCATATCTTTCAGCCTCACAGTTAGCCCCAAGAAGGCCTAATCATGAATTCCCCTGCTCTTGTCAAATACGCCCCTTACCCAGCAGGAAAGGCTCCCAACCTGGCTAGTTCCCCTATCAACTGGACAAGTAGAGTGCCAATTACAGTAGAATGCCAATTAACAAACGTAAAGCAATGATGGGATTAGAAAATCACCGTTTGACAATAACTGATTCAGATAAGAATCATCAATGGATGTTAAAAATAGTGAATAAAAATTTGATAAAGAAAAAACAGGATATTGGTATAGTCTCAAAGTAGCTCCTCACAAAATACTTATTAGTTATTAATTAATAAGTACAAAATACTAACTTCACAGTAAAGAAACCTCACAGACATAACCAACTATTAAAAATCAGCATCACTAGTAATGGGACAAACTGACCCCATGTGCCTCCTAATACAATGCAAAGAACACAGCAGTACTTCTCCAATATTCCTGCCAAAAATGAATAACCTGAATCTAATTATGAGGAAACATCAGACAACCCAAAGTGAAAGTCATCCTACAAAGCAACTGGCCTGCACTCTTCAAAAATGTCAAGGTCATAAAAGACAAGGAAAAACGGAAGAACTGCTCCAGACTGAGGAGGACTACAGGGAAAACATGATAACTAAACAAATACATACAACATCCTGCACTGGATCTTGGACCACAAAGGACATTTTTGGGGTAGTTGGCAGTATCTGAATGGGGTTTATATATTAAATGGTTGAATCTTACCACTGTTGGTTTCCTGATTTTGATGGATGTAGTGTGGTTAGACAGAAAATGTCCTTGTTTTTTTAAAAATACACACTGAAGTGCTTAGGGCCAATAGGACGTAATAACTGCAACTTACTTTCAAACAGTTTTAAAAATTACATAAGTGTAAAAATCATATATGCGTACCTATGTGTATATACACACACACATACACACACACACACACACACATATATAGAGAGAGAGGAATATACCCAAGAGAACTGAAAACTTATACATTCACATGAATGCTCATAGCAGCACTATTCACAATAAGCAAAAAGTCGGAACAACCCAAATGTCCATCAATGGATGAGTAGATAAAACAAAATGAGTACAGCCATACAATGGAATACTATTCATGAAGCCATAAAAAGGAATGAAGTGCTGATTTACGCTACAACATGGATGAACCTTGAAAGCATTATGCTAAGTGAAAGACACAAAAGGCCACACATTGATTGGTTCTGTTTATATGAAGTGCCCAGAATAGGCAATCTAAAATAAGATGAATGGCTGTCAGGGGCTACGGGGAGAGGATTGCTAACGAATGCAGGGTTTCTTTTTGGGCTGATGAAAATGTTCTGGAATTAGATAACGGTGATGGTTGCATAACTCTGTGAGTATACAAAAAAACCACGGGATTGTATACTTTAAAAGGGAAATTTTTTATGGTAGATGAATTATATCTCAATTAAAAAAAAAAAGTGAATGGCTTTCCTTAGGAAATTGATTTCCTTACTTCTTTTTCAAGCCATCTACTGGTTGATGAAAACAGAAATCCTCTTTGCAATGACGTTTGACATTTATAATCCACTGCAACAAATACAATAAAACTTTTTAACCACATTATTTATAGGTACCAGCGGATAGTCCACTTGTATTTATTCTTGCTTTTAAACAATAAAGATCTGAAAGTTCCTCTAAGTTCATGATCTATCGAATAGTCCTTTTTTAAGTTTATACTTTTCGTAACTAACTGAGGTTAAAACAAATGTCTTCATTTTAGAAATTTTAGTAATACTGCCATCTAGAAACAGGTAAAAGTATTGCTCTTGTAATAACATTAGTTAGCTATCTTCAAGCAGTACTTTAAAATTTAATTTCTGCTCACAGGACAATAAAAAGGCTAGCAAGAAACAAATGTTCAGTAACAGTACTACAATGTAATATGTAATAACCAGAAGCTTTAAACCATGAAACAAAGGCAGGTTTTCTTTCCCCTGGAATATAAATAGGACTCTAGGCTTACTCTAATACAGTAATGAGTGTAAATGAAAAATTTTCAAAGCTCTAAAAAGAAAACACACTCTGAATATGCATCTTCTATAACATTGTTCCGCATATCTGGTTTTCAGTATCAGAAGGTTGTAAACTGTGTTAGCAACTATAATCCACAACAGAGGCTTTCTAAGAATTTAAAATAGAATGAAATATTAATTTCAGTGTGGTATCACTGGGTTGTACTATCCATAGTTCTATTATATGTTAAATAAGAAGACTGATTCTCCTAAAAATGCTAAGTGTAAAGAGGAGGGCTTAAATACTTAAGAAATAAACATCAAGGTCTGCCATGATTAAGCTACTTCTTTAAAAAGCATCAGCAGATTACAACAGGGCAACATGATTTTCATTTCTTAAGTTCAATGTAAATTGCATACATTCAGTTTTTATTTTTGAACACAAACAGTTATACTATATCAAGGCTGCTAGCCACAAGAAAGACATCAGCACAGGTAGAATGACCTTATCCAACTTCAGTATCATTTTGTAGTAATGTGTGTAAAATCCAACCACTATCTGGGTAGGAGAGAGCAAGCCTAAGAGATAAAAAAAATATACACCTTTTAATTAAATTATACTGTTACCTTATAAAAGTGTGAGGTTCAACATTTGTTTTCTTAAAAACAGTACTCAATAGAATACAGTAACCTAGCTGACAGTTCAGGTATGTCTAAAGTATATGCAGAAACCTTAAGACTATAACACACCAAAAGGTTCTTTCAAATTATGTATATTCAAATGGTGGTGTGATAATTTCGATTGAAGAACAACAAAAATCTTGATAAAACAAGAAATGGGAGAAACAAAAATTGATTTCTGAACTAAATGTGTACTACCTCACACCAGAGTAAGTCACTGGGAAATACAGGCACAGAGCAGATATGCTCCATGTTATGAGTATAACCATACAAAATAAAACAACTGTATATTGTAATTCAAAAATGAGTTATAGCACATATTCATTAAAGGTTTTGGTTTGTCTTTGTTTTTTAAATAGACTTCAAAAACTGTTTTATCAATTTTGTTTTTTGTAGCACATCTTTTCTGAGTAATTCTCGCTTTTCATTCCAGAAGACATAAGAAACAATTTGCAAGAACACAAGCAAACATGTTTCTCTAAGGCCAGGAACTGGTTTGCTAAGTTGCATTGTTTTATTCGACTAAAAAGCTCTTCTCTGAATAAGAGGTCTGTAAAGGAAACCAATCATCTTCAACTCGTGGGCCTGTACACTTGTTAGGACCTCTGTTACTCAGAAAGAAAACCAAAAGGTAGAATGCTCATTTGAGCCTTAGCAAAATGGTCTCTATTTACATTTTTAAAAAATCTAACATGTTACATTTTTCTAGCTGATCTTTTTTGTATGTTACAAAACAAAAAAGCAAAACCTTAGAATAAGATAACAATCCTTTTTGTCTTCAAAAGGTCAAACATACTTTTTGACATCATGTCCTTTATACAATGGCATACTGTTCGTATAAAAGGTCTCTTATCCTATAAAAATCTTGACAAAGGCAGCCTTCTAATCCAATGCGTCCAGTTTCCGTCTACAAATCAAGAGAAAAAAAATATAAGTTCACTTTCTATTCATTAATATGCAGCTATAGTATCCAAAATATATTAAATAAATGACTGTATGATTGGCCAGGGAATAGACTGTTCTGATTCATAGAATATGGATATAATATTCAAGTCATGAATTTTTCATAGACATAAATGTCAGAGGCTTCAAATAATAAAAACTTACAATAAAATTATATATTATTTCTTTGAAAGTCACTCTGCTAAGCCTTCAAGGTCATCATTATGTATGTGAGTTACTGATGTTCAGTTTTGTGAAATTACCACACAAGAATCAAGAATCCAAAATGACAAAACATCAGAAGCAATTGTCCAATTCAACCTTTATTAAAAACACACTTACTCTACGGACTGCTACTTGATTGTTGCAAACAAGAACACCTCCTACAAATTCAGCTTGAATCCCCTCCCGTAAAAGAACTTGTTTGAAGTCTGATAGTCTCGGTTCGTTCATAAAAACTGACTGATGTCCAGGAACCTTAGCAAAGGTCAAGGAGGAAAGAAAACACCAGATATATAGTTATACTGAATAAAGTGACAACACATGATCTCTAAGATATTATCTATTATTCTCTGAGGTTCTTTGACAGATCATTTCAAGAATGTAAATCACCTTCCAAGTTGTTATTCTGAATTTTACTTCATTATTTAGCATTACAAAGCCCTTCACATTTCCTGACTGTTTCACAATCAATTTTATTAGTCACAGCTCATAACCACAGAGAGAGACGTTTGGTCATATTACGCTCTTCACACACCTACTTGCCTAATGGCGTCAACTAGAACGCCAGTAGGCAGAAGTGAACCAAAAATTTGTTTTCCAGATCCCGGTCCTTTGCTTAGTTCAGAGGACAATTCTCTCCTAATCCCATTTCCACTTTCCCTTCTTCCTCAGAGCAAATGCAATCGATGCCACTGGTTTTAGAATCAGAGAGGCATGTGGTTCAACCTAATGCTGCTACTTTGAAATTGCTTTGAAGAGTGCTAGTATTAGCACAGAGAGAAAAAAAACAAAGATTCTAATTCTAGTTCCTCCTCCCAATTTCAAAAGAGCAGTACTAGAAGGGAATCCAATGACAGAGGCCATCAATTACTAATTTCCAGTAGGACTAAAGACATCTCTTGACTTGCATGAAGGACTCTTACAATAATAAAAGCTTAATACTGTTGTACATTAAGGTAATTAAATATAGCTGAAATCTGTGCTACTTAATTAGATGAGAACATGGAAATACTGGACTAGAATTATGTTTACACTTAATAAAAGAGTTCTAACTATATCAAACCAAAAGCGATTTGAATTGAGTTGATGTCATACAAATATGGAGTGCAAGAGCACGATGTTTTTAGAAAACTACAAACCTGGCTGGGAAGCTAGAAGGCAATCCTTATAACCATCAAACTTAATATTTAAAAATCTATACTGAAAGCATACATCTTGAAACAATTATGTACCTTATAAGATGATTTGCTAAAGGTTCCCTTTAAATTGTTATCATTCATATGTTATAGCCACATAGAACCGATATACATATATACACACACATACACAGGAACATAGCTTGACCAACCTTGACCTACATATGACACATTTTAAATGGTTAAAAACAAAAGGAAAATGAGAAATGAAAGGAGAGAGAAAAGGCCCATGCTTTTTTACCTCATGAGGCGGCAAAGGTTCCAAAGTAGGAATGATCTCACTTTCTTCACCTGTCTCTTTCTCATCATCTCCAAACAGACTCTTCATGGCCTTTTGCTGTGCTATAGTGCTAGAATCTGAAGAAGCATCCACTTGCATTTCTGAGTCTTCTCCATCATCCTTCAATTCTCCTTCTTCTAAAATAACTCCTGTGTCCACTTTGGAGACTCTCATGTCTAGGACACCATCTATCCAAGCTAATTCAGCATCTTTTGCCTTACAAAACTGAAGGGAGCTGACAAGTGAGTCTTTTAATCTCACCTAGAGATGCAAAGGGAAGGGGGAGAAATAAAAACCACAGAATATAAACTGCTAACAAATTAAATATGATCTATTATCATTTTCTGATTCTGATAATGTGCATAAAAACCTGAAAGTCTTTCAGTCATCTATCGCCACAACAAGTCTGTAAGATCATCAGTGCCTCTGTCTACTTTCAAAGCTGAAGTTCTTAATTAACCCTGACTGCACATTAGAATCAAATGGCAATTTAAAAAAAAAAAAAAAAATA